AAAGAGTGTTTTGCTGTGTAGGCCCACATTTAAACGCTCCTACTAGTTTGAAATGGGTATTCAAATGGGTATTTCAAAATAAAAACTAAAAGGAAAAAGAGAAACAGCAGGACAGGTAGCAATTGTTCCCCAAGGTAGCAAATAGCCTGCTCTGCTTGACTGGGAAAAAAAAGGTAAATCAGAGCCAATAATACCTTAATGGGAAAACCTATCTAACTTAGCCTGTGGAGAGAAATATGTTAATCTGCAAGTAAATAAATGTGTAGGTTGTTTGCTATATAAATATCTTTGTTTCTTTTGCTGCCTGTGCTCTAAATGTAAAACAAAATCTACTTTCCAAACAGATTAAAAAGGGTGGATGTGGAGCTGGCGAGTGCATCTGGGCCCTGGACAAAGTGGAAAACGGTGAGATGCTGTCACAGCACAGGTAGCCGCAAAAACACCCAGAGGCATGAAGAGGCTATCTGGAAGGATGAGAAAGAACCAAGGGCTCATGTAGGCTTCAATGGGACTAGGGCTGTTTGACTGAGGGAACTGGATAGGTGCTGCTCCTCTCCTCTGAAAGGCTCTCCCAAAGAGATGACACTTCATCTGCAATGCGTGTTCAGAGGGAGATCCTTCCTGGCCTTCTGTGACTTCTGGCTCTTAAATGAGCACAAACTGGTAAATCAGCTATGAGCATAATTAGGAGCTGTCAGCATGATGCCCCTCCAGGACATTAAAACCTGGGAAGTCTTGCAGCCAAAAGACAGATCTGCAAGGGTGATGCTGGAGGTCTCAGTGCAGCCTGTTGTTACACTCCAGGCTGAAGCCATAGTGTTTGCCTAGAAGTGTGAAGGAAAAGGGCTTCCAGTGGTAACAACCGAGTGGCAATAATGGGGACTATTATTTAAAAGCTAGCCATTTCCTAGCTTTTAAATCATAGCTGGTGAGCTTCTGTTATTGTACCAGCGTGTCTTTCTGAGAGTACTGCAGAAATTGAATGATGGCTGTACCATGGATGGAGGTGCTAACAAAACCTCCTTTTTTAGGTTCCCAGATGGACCCCTTGAAGGATATGGGTGACCCTCAGAGGCCATTTTGCTATGAGCTGCTGAAACAGACCTAAAACTTCACTTGCCTGCTCCTGGTGGAGATGTCCCTTTGTGCCTTCCTGCAAGAGTAGGACTGGGCAGGGAAAGGCTGCACTCCATGGTCCCTTTGGGAAGTGCCAGCAGTGGGCTTATGGGTGACAGAGAAGGAAACTTTGGCAGTGGGGAGCTGTGTCCAGAGCAGAGACAGGAGTGGACATGTGCCCTGGCCCCAGCAGTGGGGTGAGGAGGAGCTTCCCCTGCAGGTCCAGGGACAGCAGGCAGACTCTGCACAGCCAAGAAGCTGACAGCTGGCTGGATCCTTTCAGGCAACAGAGGAGTAACTGGCATTCAGAAGCTCCAGGCAGCAGACACAGCCTTGGTGACTGCCTTGTGTAAACCTAAGCCTCATCTTTCAGGGGGTAGCCTTAATTTCAGCATTTTGGCTCCTTGTACCTATTCCGGTTTGACGGAACAGAGATGAAAAGGGTAGATCTGTGCGAGCAGGGGAGCCACATGTTGGGGCTGATCAGCGTCCTTGGATTTCTAAATAATTCACAGCCACAAACAGTTCTGCCCAACCTGACTTTGCTGCCTATGGGACTAAGGAAAAAATACCATCTTCTAGAAGGAGCCTCTTGTTAGAAAAGCACTTGTGCAAAGTCCTGCCAGAGGCCAGGATGCCTTACAACACCCTGTGATTCTTTTGTAGGTATCTCCTTGCAGTAGTACAGCCACTACTGTGAATGTGACTCAGCCTTAGAAACTTTCCTAGTGGGAAGTTTCTCAGCAGTGCAGCACTGTGGTTGCACAGCAGCTTGAGCCCGTGCTGGCTGCACAGGGATAACTCCCTTCCTCTTGGAGCACACTTTTATAGATCTTCAGCCTATTAGCATGTTCTGCTTCACTTCACTTTTCAGGTTAAAGAACCCAATTAATCTCCTTCAGACAATACTTTCAAACCCTTCCCTGCACTCTCACCAGGCAGCTGACACTGAATGGACACATTCTGTGTGGCAAAGTCCTCCAGCCAGGACCTCACCAATGCTGAACTGCAGAACCAAGTCCCTCCATGTGTTTTGTAGGGTGCAGTCCTCCTTGTGCAGCTCTGTGAGCACAGAGCTGCCTTTTTTTTTTCCTGTGGAAGTGCTATCAGGGAAGCTGCTTCCCATTCTGTATTTGTGCAGCAGATTGTTCTCAGCTCAGCATGATGCTTCCCACTTGGCCTTCCTGAACCCACTTGTGCAGTTCACATCTCCATTTCACCTCAGTTGTATTGAAATTCCCATCACAATGCCCTCCACAGACCCCATATTTATTACTGCCAGGACAGCCAAGAGCACCAAATTAACTCTGTAAAAAGGTTCAGAAGGGGTAATCTGCCAGATGTTTGCAGAAGTAAGTCCTTGGGTAGCTGGTGAACTTTACACAGGTCAAACACGTTGAATTTATGAGGGCTGCTCATGAACAGCCATATTTACATGCTTGAGTGTGTGGAGAATAGATGCCAGCCTTTTTAATATACTGGTCACCTTATTAGGGAGAATCAGAATGGTATTTTCAGTCAAGCTGTGCTAGGGCTTAGTTTGGCAGACTTAATGTAATTAGATGGAGATGAGTTTGGCCCAAGCGACTGCTTTCTTTACCATGGTGTTTTCCCAGTGTTTGTCCAATGACTCTTTAAATAGATTTGAACTGATTTAAGGCTTTTCTCACTCTTTGCTTTGAGATATTTTTCTCCCTTTTTAATATCAAAGGCTACTCTGTGACCCAGAAGAGATCTTCACATCTTAAACATATCACTCTTATAGGGAGGTTATGCTAAATCTGACCCCCCCAATCAGGAGAGGTGCTACTGCCAGGTTCCCCTTCTACATACTCCTGCGATTGCCAGAAAGGGGCAACTGGATTTCGGTAGGAATACCAGAATCGGAGAAACATGAGATTTAAAGCTGGTATCCACTACCTTTAGGTGGCCACTTGGTGAAGCTGGTGGGTTTTAAAGGAAAAGAACAGCAAAGCTTCGAAGCACATCATCAACAGGCTAAAGCTCAGAGGTGCTAAACCAACACAGTCTCTGCCTGAATGCTCCTGAAGCTGCTATTTAACACAAGCAAAAGTACATCTTGATGTTTCTTGGAAGTCTTAAAACAGGCATGTTCATCTGCTTCCTGAAAAGAAAGGGAAGACACCCGAGGATACAGATGATTTCAGAATGCAAAGGACTTTGCCAGCAGAGGAAAACCAGGGAGCAGTTAAGTACAACATTCTGTAATCTCATGGGAATCAAAGAGTACCTTACAGAAAAATCAAGCTATTTAGAAATAAACACCACTCTTCAGACATCTTAATGTTATCATGTTCTCTCTCTTTTTTTTTTTTTTAATGCTGGAAAGTGCTCTGGTTCCATCTATGGTTTTGGTGCTTGTGAATGAATTGCAGATCATAGTTTTACCAAATAAGAGGTTCTGTGTTTGGATGTCTTTTAAAATAGGACAGATCATGCAAGAGCTGCACTCCTGAGTCCCGAAGTCTGAAATGACTAGAATGCAAAGATAGCCTGAAACCAGCCCATGGGCACGGAGGGCTCCTAGCTCTTACGAGGGTGTGACCCTGCACTTCAAGACAAAGTCAAGAACACTCGCTCCATACCTACAGACCTCATAAAAATCACAGGAAATACCAACAGCACTGGTGATTTTCCTAGTTTTCTGTGCAGGGGGGCTGGCAATGCTGCTCAGGCCACGATTTTCCTAGTTCAGTCCATCCTAAACTTTTGAATGAACATGATTCATAGGACTGGATGCTTCTCAGAGCAGTACTTAAGCCCTGGTTTGGGAAAGCACAGCAGCACATTTGCCTTCAGCCTTGTCTTCAGCTGCTGAGCAATTCCACTGAAGCTCATAGCACATAAGCCCTTACTTGAATCCAACAAGCACTTTGCTGGGTTGAAGCTGTACTTCCATATTTCCCTATGGGAAAGTAGAGCACTTCTTGTATCGTTGGAGTTGCAGATTTGGTGAGGAGGGTTTAACTTAGAAGCCCAGTTTTTTGACTGCATGATAGCACACCAATTCCAGCTTTCTTTTGAAACTGAAAATTCAAGGAGCTTTTCAGTAAGGTTGCCAGCCACTAGGATATACATAAATGCAAATGAAACACCCTATGCTTTGCTCATTATTTAGAGGCAGTGTCAACCCAAGTAATGTACTTTGAGTGCAAGGTTAGTAACAGTAAAACGTAGCCCCGCTATCTGCCCACCATTTCTGTCTACACACACGTATATTGAAGGAATCCCCAAACTATGGCCAATGAAGGCTCTCCATTCCACCAGATGCACATGTTAGAGCATAAGGCAGATGGACAGCTCAACAGCTGTATTTCATGCCCCCAGAGGTCCAGTCCTGAAGTGAGAGGCAAATCTACCTTGTAGGGTGCCTACAGTAACTATTTCCACACTCCATGCATCATTTCACCACAAAGCCCCATCCAGGTGTGGGAAAGCAGAAGGCAGAAACCTCACTGGAAAAAAGGGTGAGGTACTTTACAGACGACCCTCCGCAGCGGGGATGCCAGCCGGGAAGAGCCCCTTGCTGACCGGGACTCCCATAAGCCGCGCTCGGAGGAATGCCCGCCGGGCAGCCGAGCTTCCCATCATCACCGCAACCCGCGCCGGGAGCCCCGCAGCCCGAAAGGACACCTCCGGGAGCCAACGGGAACCGCCTCAAGCTCACGGAGGAAACTCATGAGTAACTACAACGGCGGCAACCTGCTGCCTGCCCGCCTATCCGGGAGCGGGTTTCCCCCTTACAGCTCATCGCTTCGGGGCAGCAGCGGGGGATGCCAGCCAAGGTAGCCGCCACCGCCGCCGCCGCCCCCCGGGGACACCCCACCGCCCTGCTCTCCTTCCGCCGCCCCAGGCACACTCACCTGCGCTCCGGCCACAGGGTCTCCTGCTGCCTCCTGGGCGGGGGTCACTGCCCCGGTGGCGGGGGGAGGCCGGACAAAGCCCCGCCACCTACCCACAGAGCGGCACCGCCAAGTGCCGCGCTGCCCCCCGGCAGTGGGATTTATCGGCGGCAGCGGGGCGGGGAGGGGAGAACAGACACACACCGCGCTGAGCCGCTTCGGGGCGCGCCGCGCCTGCGGGCAGCGCTGCTGCCTTCCCGCCCCCGGGGCGGGGGGAGGTTGCACCAGCCCTGCCCCGCCACCAGGCAGCGGGTGGGAGCTCCGTCCCGCCGCTGCAGGTGCTCAGGAGCGACACTCGCCTCTGCCGCGCCGGGGATGTGCGCGGGGCTGTACCCGTGCGGCAGGGGCTGTCCTCCCGGCGGGGCGGGGGGCGGCAGCAAGCTGCAGCCCTGCGTGGGGCTGGGTCACCCCGGCCCCTGGGGTAGCTCAGGGCTCATACCTGCTGGTCTCGGCTTCCAGGACTCTGGGAGCCGGGTGGGCTCCCTCGGGGGTGGGTGCTCTCTCCTCGCAGCGTGTCCCCAAGCAGCCGGTGCTGGATGGGAGCTCCCGATCAGGCGGGTCTGCAGGGAGAGCCATGAGGGGCTCCAAGCATGTGATGTGGTTGTAAGGCTGCATCCACGCTGAATGAAAACACAGGGGTGAAAGTCACTCTGTTCTGCATTGTATATCCTGTACAGAGCGGTATACACCCTATGAAAGTATCATACAGAGAGCTTAGATGCCATCAGTGCCTCAAAATCAAGTAGATTTTCCCCCTGAGAATGACATGATTTGTACTAGTGATGCCCATTTTGAATTTTGATGCTATATTTTCTACCAGCATAGATAGGATGGAAGCTTCCCCACATATCAAACAATGTGGATAGAAATGCAACAGGAGAGTCTTAAAAGGTTTCTGCTTTCCTAAGGAAGGATGGGTGCATGGGATGCAAGAAAAATGTGAAGAATGGAAGTAAAAGAACCTCTGCTTTGTTTAAGGAAGTTGTTTGTAATCGGAAATCATGTTATTTTGCACAGATTTAAAAGCTTTTGGAGCTTTTGTGGAGAGTTGCTGGTTGAAAAATCCCTTCACTGAGTCTCCTGCTTTACCAAAGAAACAGAGAAAAGAGAGATCTGTCCTGACGCCTTCTGGTGATATATATCCTATCCTTCCCCACCATGCTGCAGCTACAGGTAAAACAAATTTCCAGGAGCAAGAGGTCTGTGTCAATCACATATACACAAAGAGTCCTTCATCCCAGGCACCTGGCAACAGAAATACAGATATGAAAAAGGAAAGCAGTATTATGCAAATATTAAGCATGGAAGGAAGGATTTAAACTGAGACAATAGGCTCTTAATGAAAGGCACAAACATCAGTCACTCACAGCTGAATGAGTACACGTTGATTGGAAGCTGGGTGGAGTGACAGCCCAGAAAGCTTCACGTTAAGTCACTTAAATCCAATTATTCTTAAGATTTTTTTTTTTAATAATTAAATTAATTTCACACGACTGTGAAAGGAGCTGAAATGACGCCAAAATCTGTTCTCGTGACAGGCTACAGAGGCAGGATTAGTCAGTAATTCTGGCACCAGGCTCAAGAGAGCTGGGTTTAAGATTTTGTGTCTTATCTGCCCAGCTCTGAGGGGTGATAAAAGGACTCTTCATTCCCAAAATGCTGCTGGGGATGATTACTCAGCTTGTATGGTAGGGAGGTATCCCCATAGCTGGAACATCTCTTACAGTATCCCAGCAATGCTCCTCAGACTTGGGTATGCTTGTAGATGTATGATGCATGTTGAGTTGCTTCCTTTGAGACAATCACATATGTCTTGCCATGAAAAGGAACATGCCTTTCAGACAAGATTTCATGTGCGTCTGGGCATGAGTGCAAGCATTCTCTCGGTCTGCCACCCTTCCATTGCAGCGTAACTGCGAATGCAAGAGGTGATCTGGTTGTGGGCTTATCACAGCCTCCCTTAATTTGGTTCTGGATCATTCAGATAATGTTGGCCATTCTGAGCCATGCTGTTTTGGGCAGGAAAAATGCAGCAGCGGATTGTTGTCTGATTGTTATCTGCACACATTTCTTCTTCTCTCTCCTTAACAAATTGCCCTTCTCCTTTCCCAGTCCCCTCTTTGCATTCAGCTTGCTGCTTCCTTCCTACAAAGTCATTGGATATATCACCAGGTACATCTCTGCAGAGACAGAAGAAGCCAGAGTGGTTGTCAACAGCATACTCTGTAACACCCTCCCTCTGTCTGCAGGGCTGCCTGCTCAAATGGTAATGCACTGCATGTGGGATTCATCTGCCTTTAGCTTTTGACATTATAAGTTAATAATCTGAGTGCAAGCTCATCACCTAAGGCTCTCTGTGTAGTTGATGGAGAGAAATAGACACCTCCAGAAGGCAACTCATCTCATCCATCTTAGACATCTGTGTGAAGATGAAATGAATTGTCCTTTGGAGGTGCCCATTTCTCTCTACTGAGTCTGAAAGGAGCCCAGGGTGACCTGCTTTGATGAAGTTGATAAATGCTTAGATATGTACAGTGGGGTGAAATGAATCTTGCTTCAGTAATTCTGATAATCATGACCTAGTGGAGATTGAAAGTCTCTTGAGATTTTTCTGCATATCCTGTAAAACCTAAGTAGGGGCAAATCTGAGCTGCTTTGCTGTTTTCTGGCAGATAATAGCAGTGCAGATCAGTCAGGTTAATCCCAGTGCAGCAGGATGATGCTAGTCTAGGAAGGGACAAGGAAAGGTTCAAACAAGTTCCAGAGGTGCTATTTTGATACAGCCTGCTCCCACCCACATACCCATCTCTTCATCATGGCTGGGTGCTCAGAAACAGGTGACTCCAGATCTGTTCTTACTTGCACCAAAACGGGTTGTTCTTCAGCATCGGAGTCAATGTTCACCTGGAGACCAATAACGAGTGTTGTCCCTCAGGGACTGGTGTTGGGACTGGTCTTATTCAACATCTTTGTCACTGACATGGACAGTGGATTGAGTGCGCCTTCAGCAAGTTTGCTGATGACACCAAGCTGTGTGGTTCGGTTGATACGCTGGAGGGAAGGAATGCCATCCAGAGGGACCTTGACACGCTTGTGAGGTGGGCTGATGCCAGCATCATGAAGTTTAACCATGCCAAGTACAAGGTCCTACACCTGGGTCGGAGCAATCCCAGGCACAGCTACAGGCTGGGCAGAGAAGAGATTCAGAGCAGCCCTGTGGAGCAGGACTTGGGGATGTTGTTCGATGAGAAACAACATGAGCCGGCTTCAATGTGTGCTTGTAGCCCAGAAAGCCAACCGTATCCTGGGCTGCATCAAAAGGAGTGTGACCAGCAGGTCGAAGGAGGTGATCCTGCCTCTCTGCTGTGCTTTTGTGAGACCTCACCTGGAGTATTGTGTGCAGTTCCGGTGTCCTCAACATAAAAAGGACATCGAACTGTTGGAACAAGTCCAGAGGAGGGCCACGAGAATGATCAGGGGACTGGAGCACCTCCCATATGAAGATAGGCTGAGAAAGTTGGGGCTGTTCAGCCTGGAGAAGGCTGCATGGAGACCTCATAGCAGCCTTCCAGTATCTGAAGGGGAGCTGTAAGGATGCTGGGGATGGACTCTTCATTAGGGACTGTAGTGATAGGAGAAGGGGTAACGGGTTAAAACTTAAACAGGGGAAGTTTAGATTGGATATAAGGAAGAAGTTTTTTACTGTAAGGGTGGTGAGGCACTGGAATGGGTTGTCCAAGGAAGCTGTGAATGCTCCATCGTTGGTGGCGTTCAAGGTCAGGCTGGACAGATCCTTGGGTGATATGGTTTAGTGTGAGGTGTCCCTGCCCATGGCAGGGGGGGTCGGAATTTGATGATCTTAAGGTCCTTTCCAATCCTAACTGTTCTGTGATTCTATGATTCAAAGCCCATTTTAAGGGCTCTTGCAGCTCTCTCTGAAGCACCTTGTACTGGCTGTGATGAGATGCTGTAGGAGGTACTCACCAGACTCCCTTCTCTTGAAGCTGCCCTTTTCCTGAGCTCTGGATGCCACCCTGTTGTGTTCCTAAGGAGATAATAATTTTGCCTTTTATGAAAAAGTGATCTATTGTGCTGTCAGTGTCCAGTAATCTACTGTATGGCAATTGCTTCTCATAAGCAACTAAACAAAACAGCATCCTCATTTTACTTGGATTAACTTCTGCAGTTAAGAGGTGACAGATGATACCAAAAATACCAGTGTAAATACTGTGTACTTTTATGTTTGAGCTCCTCAGAAATACTCTCAGGCTTATGTTTTCCATGGGTGGTCCCTGGCCCTAAGTTGTTCTAGGACTGTGAAGTATAAACAGATGCTACTTCTGCAGGGAAAAGTAGAGCTGCCCTTTAAAAAAATGCTGTTCTAATGAAAGCTGCTGAAATTCAAAACTTGGCAGGATCTTATTCCTCAGCAAGGAGGAGGCAATTGGTCATTAGTTTGCTTTTGTTCTGTGGTTCTTTATTCACATGTCACTGCCTGCAGCCTCAGATGCCTCGAAGCTGTGCTGCCCGGTGCTGTCAGTGCTGCCCGGTGCTGCCTCGAAGCTGTGCTGCCCGGTGCTGTCAGTGCTGTCTTGCTTCAAATGGAGCAACCACAGTGTCAGCTCAGCAGTAAAGGGCTGTCAGGGAGCATTGTCTGGAGGGCACAGCCCTAACATGCTCACATCTAGCAGACACAGTGTTAATGCTTGTGGCACGGTACAGGCACAGGGCCTTCTGGCTGTGCTACGCTGGGGCAAAGTCTGTTTGTGACTTGTGTATTTCTACAGTGATCAAAATCGTGTATTAGCTTATGTGTATACCCTTCTCTGGGTGTTTTCTGTCCATGACTACCAGTGACACTGGTAAATGCTTGGCAAATGTCACCCTTACTCCATCATTTACTCTTGGTTATTTTGCAGGTTTGTTTATCTTATAGCATCTCCCCAACCTCAGCAGCTCATTCTTTTGCCAGCAGTTTATTTGCTTCTCAAGGCTTATATGGGATCTGCTTTGATTAATGCTTTTGCAAAGGCTTAATTTTATATATCCCTATCAATGCTCCACCAAAGCTGATATTTGTAAGTCTTTTGACTTGATTACAGGCAACTTGGTTGTACTGTGCTCTACAG